AATCTTTTAAGATGGACTTAAAACCTTAACCTCAGAGTTCGCCATTGTCCCCGGTAACATCAAAACAAATGCAGAGCGCTCAGTGAATTAATGCGACCGCAGGATTGGTGACTCATTTGTGAGGTTTCAGGCTGCGGCACATTTTACTACAGATCAACAGTTTCCCACAGAGAGCCGAGCAGCACGTCAGCTCCTGACACCAAAGTAAATGATCCACACGTTTGTCCATCCAGTGACAGGAAGATGACTTTAGACTTTATACATTAACTTTTTATAGGCGACGGTTTAGTTCGAGACCTAAAAGATGTTCAGTTACTGTTAATAGAAAACAGAGAACATCAGCGAACAGTTACATTTGAAAAGCTGGAATTAATCTGAGCTGTTCACAAAGACGCAGCTGCTTATGCAACTTCAGCCCGTTTGGGAGCAATAACACGTCTCCCAGGAAGTTCAAAGGGCCTGAAGGTAACTCCTGCAAACGTGCACATTTAGCCAAACCTAGAGGATGAGCATGGAAACCAACAGGCAGCGTGCTGCAGTCGACCGAGTCGAATAAAAGTGAGAAATGATTTACGACTTATTTCTGTTAAAAGGACCAAAACGATTTTCCACAGGAGAAAAAAACACGAGCTTCATCTGTGGGTCAAACTTCACCCCAAACCTCTGCACATCCTCGACACAGGAAACAACACGTTCACGATCAGTGTGATGAGGAGGGCTCCTACACGTACTGTGTGTGATTCACTGATGTATTTATTTTCTTATAGTTTATAATTTTCTGTATCATTTCATTTACTGCTCGCACGGAGGAACCGTGGCAACATAATTTCCTCTGGGATTAACAAAATATTCTGATTGATTGATCGATAGCACACTGATGTTTCTGCCTCTGTGAGGAGCTCAAAAACATAAAGACCGGACCATCGTTCTGCACTGGGTCCAAAAAGCTTCTGATTTCTAACTTTAATTTATACAGAGTTAGTGACAGCAGTGGTCAGCTGCTTTAGATGAAACCTGAGCTTCTTCTGGATGCAGAACGTGCTCTTAAATGATACGACGACACGATCGCATCCCTGGAGACCGCCGTCAAAAGATGGCGTTAAATTTAATGCTGTTGTTAAACTTCAGAATAAAATCAAACTTGACTTGACAGAAACTGGCAAAAGGAAAGAAAAGCAACACGAGATTTCAACACTTCACACAGCTCCGCACCACAGCCCCACAACATTTGGCTAACCTCACTCAGAAAAGGAAAACACTCACACACACACTCTCTGTCTTAATATCTTTGTGGGGACATCTAACTGACATAATGCTTTCCCTAAACCTAACCATGAAAAATGAATGCCTAAGCCTGACCCTTACCCCAAACCGAACTCTGAAACTAAAACCACATTTTGGGTCTTCAAACTTATAGGGAAAAACTCCTCGTCCCCATAAGGACTGTTGGTCCCCACAAAGATATGTAGACACACACACACACACACACACACACACACCGCATGTTATAAACTAACCAATTAAATTTATATTTGAGGCCGTCCTGTTTAATCAATAAATGTATGCAGTGATCCACAACCGGCTTTGAACCACACCACAAATCGGTGTGAATAATTACAACCGTGCGAGTGTGGAGAGCTGCACGATGACTAAAGTGCAACCCAAACGAAAGAGCAGACGCACCTTCACCAGGTGCACACACACACGTGAATTTCACACCAAATGTGTTGGAGCCCAATTTACTTTTAAATGAAAGAATATATACAAAGAGTCCGAGACGTCAACCGAACAGGAAAAGAGTCCGCGCTGTACTCTCATGCAATGCCAATCTGAACCACAAGGTGGAGCTCACGCTACTATCATCACTGTCACTTCTGTTGGTAGCTATGAGCACAGAGACGCTAACATCAGATGCTTTTTGGTAAACGCTGCGACGCATCTTCAAAACTAACCTCACAAAAACTGGAGAGCGGCTTCTTTCGGTCAGATCAGTGCGCTCCTCAGAAACGCTACGTCTGCTCTAATTACAGCAGAATTAACAGGCGGGTATGAGCGTCCAGCAGGGTAACATGTATACGCGACAGAAAGCACATTTACCATCAGAGAAAGCAGCAACAAATGTGTCCACAAGATCTGTGCAAGAAACAGAGGAAGGAAAGATGATGACCGACCGATATGAAAAAATGGGCAGCAGGCAGTGGTAACGGTACAGTGTGGTCTCAGGGTATGAAATGCATTCTGGGATATGACCTCTGGTAGTGAGCAGTAGTGGGATGGTGACATAAAAAGCTGGTACTCACTGCACTTCCTCTAAAGGGAGGGGCTTCACTGGAGGGGGAGGGGCTCTTCCTGAGGCTCCACCTCCTCCTCCGAACTCTGTCCGTTCTCCTCTCTCTCCTCTTCCTCTTTATCTTCTGGAAGCTCAGGCCAGCAGCACTCTGGGTAATCTCCCGCGGGGTCTGAAAGAGGAGCGAGACGTCAGCCAAGTGTGAGAGAAAACTAAAGATGGATCACATCGAGAGTGTGTGTGTGCGTGTGTGTGTGTCTGTGTGGGTGTGTGTGTGTGTGTCTGTGTGTGTGTGGTGCGTGTGTGTGTGGTGTGTGTGCTGTGTGTGTGTGTGTGCGGTGTGTGTCTGTGTGTGTGTGCGGTGCGTGTGTGTGTGTGTCTGTGTGTGTGTGTGTGTGTGTGTGTGTGTCTGTGTGTGTGTGTGTGTGTCTGTGTGTGTGGATGGCAGATGCAAACAGATCATGTTGAGGTGTTGATGATTGTGAGTGTGATAGCAGGTGTTCCTGAGTGTTGTGCGACTGTGTTTGTGTGGTCTGAACCCAGCACGGGCCTTAAAAACTGCACCACAACTTGGCCCAATAAAGGAGGCAGTGGGTTACCGTGGTAACATGCCAAAATCGAGAAGGGAGGAAGCAACGGAGTGAGAGCGAGACGGAGAGAGAGGAGCACAGAAAAAATAAATGAAAAAATAAGAATCAGAGGAGAGACCGAGCGGCAACCTGAGCACGGAGAAATGAAGCCAACACAAAGCTGCAGTTCCTCTGACGGCCACCGGAGGCTCCACCAGTCAGTCATGTTGGAACAAACATGTTTACAGCCTGGTATGAAAAACTGTTTACCCCTCTGGCACATCAGTTCAAGTAATGCAAAACTGAGTTTCAGGCTGTCTGTGTGCAGGGGGCGGGGCATTCTTTTATTGTTTTTTACAGTATTTCCGAACCCTCATTACTTTCTAAGTGCAGGAGATTTCTATGTGAAGTTTCCTGGGCTGCAAAACACATTTAAGCAACAAAACCTATTTTACAACTGCATCAAGTCGCTCAATTCAAAGATAAAATCTGGTTTTTGTTCAGCTGGATTTGTTCCAGAGTCAGTCCAATCAGAGTGAATATGGCGCCTTGGGGCGGAGCTACTTTGTTTCTCTTTCCTCGCTCATTATGTTCAGTTTTAATACACAGGATATCTGTGTTTGCCACTAGGGGGCGTCTCTCCCTCCATTAAACATCTGAAATATATAGAAGCAGCAGTGACTGAGGCCACAGGTGATCTACCTTTGCCACACGCTGTCGCAGCTGTGCTGCGCTCTGCAGACGACTGTTCGGCAGGAAAACTCGCAGCTCGTTTAATTTAACGAGGCCGCAGCGTCGCCACGGCGGGGAGGTGGCAGAAACAGTTAACCCCGGCTCAGCTTTATGGCAGCGCTCAATCAAATGAGATCAAATGAGACGCCCGGCAGTGCAACGAGGAAGCGGTGCCAGACTTCCTGTCCGGTAGAGGTTCTCCTGAGCTTAATGCAACACAAACGATGGCGTGACTTGGACCATAGAGCCAATCAGCTGTGCCAGGCTGTGCGTGACTACTGAACCCCACAGTTAAGGCCGTTAGCATCCACGCACGAGCACAAGCCAATGACAAGGAACAGGAAGAGGAGACATGAAGGAGGCAATCATCGATCGCTGAAACCCGCCTGCACACGTAAACGCGCTTCATCAGGGTTTGCAGCTTAACAGTGAGCAGTCCTTGGTTTGTTTCAGTGTGTGTGTGTGTGTGTGTGTGTGTGTGTGTGTGTGTGCATTATTTTAGTGCCGTGCTCAGGTTTGCATTAACCACACTGAATCCTCATCTTCAGCCTGAAGGCAAAGCCTGAGTTTGGAGGACGCACAGCAGCTAAAGAGCAGCCAGCCTTCACTACAGGCTGCACTCAGCAGTTTTTCTGCCGCGTGGATCGATGCACTAAAAAAAGCCTTACTCATATAGAAAACAAGTTTGTTTTGCAGGGTTCACAGTGTGAAAGCGCTGCTGTAAAGACCTCAGAATCAGCCAGAGTGCCAGCCGCAGTGATGGCGCCCGCAGGTTTGTGAAGCTTTTATTGTAGCATTTTATCCGCTGCCATGTTGGACGAGAGGGTGGAGCAACGAGCTCCTCCATCCATCTCTTTTCTGACACCGAGACGCTCGGGCCTCGAGCTCTTCTGGCGGGACACAGAGGCGTTCCCGAGTCAGGTGACAGTTATGATCTCCTCTGGCATGTCGGGGTCTCCTCCCCGCAGGACGTGGTTGACCGCCATCGCCCGGGAGGCGTCCTAGTCAGATCTCCGAATCACCTCAGCCAACTCCTTCCAGTGTGGAGGAGTGGAGGAGGGGTACTCCGAGCTCCTCCCCCCTCGCTCTGAGGCCGAGCCCGGCGCCTGCTGCTCGTGCAAAGTAACGGAGGGAATACTGCAGTTTCACTCAGCACTGGAGCGCAGCCTCAGCTGCACAGCAAGCTCAGTATTTGGCAGAAAATTGGATACGTGTGTACGAGCACAGAGCGGAGGTTAGCGGAGGTTAGCGGAGGTTTGGCCCATCGGAAACTTTGGCCCCAACTCTGCATCACGCCTCGCGTTTAGATCAGCAAAATGAGACTTTGGCTCGACGGCGTTTACGGCAGCCGGCTCGTCGCTCTGCACTCGCGGTGAAACGAGGAGCAGAGGACGAGCGTTCAGGTCACCTGCACGCCGTGACGCGTACCTGATTTTAAACGTTATTCGTTTCAGGAGTTTTGACCTTTAGAAACTTTCGTTCCTGCTTTCTGTGCAGCACAAAGTCTGACTCATGTTTAATATAATCATTATTTACTCACAGCCATCCTGGTCACAGATTAACATCGAAACATTATGAAGCTCCTCTAAGAGGGAATCACCGGCAGCATTTTCCCCGCGATGAGCGCCTGTGTGTAGGTTGCTAAAGCTCTGCGAGTGAGTGGATGAGATCATCAGAGGACTGCAGCGCAGCAGGGAGACACACACACTCAGAGACAACAACAGGTCTTTTCCACAGAGTCTGGATCCCCCTCAGGACTGACCTCATCCTCCATCCATCACCAACCTGATACGAAGCAGCTCTGCTCTGGGACCAGTGTGTGTGTGTGTGTGTGTGTGTGTGTGTGTGTGTGTGTGTGTGTGATCATCTCCACTGTTACGGTGTTTATTTGTGCTCTCCTGTACAAATGAATGGGCTGTTTGTGTAACGTGTGCATACATATATGGAAATAGAAGCAAAACAGAGTGCGGCGTGTTGGCCTGAGCTCTCTTACACAAGCTTCCTTATCATTTCCTGAAATCATCTTCGGGAACAGTTCTCCACGCTTTCCAGGAAAAAGGGAGCTGCTGTCAGTCGATGCCTTCCAGAAGGTTCTGGTGCGATGCTACTTTTCTCTGTGTTAATTCCAGACATTGTAAAAAGAGCTCCGACACCACCGACTGAAATAAAGCCTCAAATCCTGACGGAGCCTCCACCGTGTTTCCCAGATGACTCACACAGATGCTCCATCAGCCCCGTTTCCTCCGACTATCTGTCCTTCTGTAACTTTCATCCCTCAGCCTTTTCTTCCTGTTTCCCTTCCCTACGAATGGCTTCTTGACAGCCGACCTTCTTCAGACACTGCTTTTGTCCTCCGATTTCCTTAAACTTTTAAGGACACTGAAATATGCCAACATTTCAGCTAACAGCTCTTCAGGAATCAGCCTGTTGGTGCAAAAACACTATTTTATGTCAAACTGTATTATCTTTGGTATTTGTCACAGATTGAAGTAAAGAAATGAGAACAAATGATGTGTTTCTGTGACAGGCTGCGGCTAACAAAGTGCCTAAAGATACAATTCTTCTGTTGTGTAGACACAACACCGATTCATCCTTTTCATGCCTGAATGACTCAAATTGCAGAGCTAAGTGAAGGTGATCAGGTACAAAGACCGGAGGGAAAAAGCAGCCCAAGACCAAAGAAAATCTTTGAAAGACCTTCAGAAGGCCGGCTGTGCTGTCTGAGTGACGTGTATGATAATAAAGCACACTGCTCCTCTGCATGCAGCGTCCCAGGTCTCCTGGTGTCTAAATAAACCGTCGCCCAGGTCATCTGCACGAATGAGCTTGAGCTTGTTGGACCGGAGCCTCCTCAGACTCTTTGGTCTCAAACTCAGTTTCTGACACTGACTCGTGCACACCTACGAGGGCTCTACACCTGCCCGTGTGCACTAACCCTAACCCTTCCACGACACGTTCGGCCGTCCCTGCTCTGTTAATATAAAAGTGTCACCGGGATGAATTCCCCTACACGCTGCACTTCCTGCTGCTGTGGCGTAGCGACTCTCGGATTAATGCCCCGCCGCAGGACGCGGCCTCCGTCTGTTTTGCCGTCCGTACCTCTGTGCCGCCGAGCTGCCTAAAATATATTTAGGCTGCAGCGTTCATCTGGATATTTTGCATATCTTAATTAGTGCTTACAAAACATGCAAATCAGCCGGTCGGCCCCAATTAATTAGCTTTGTGGGCTTTCTCCTGAAGTGGCGGTACTGAGGGGGCGTCTGTCTGTCTGTCTGTCGCTGTTTTTGTCCTAACCTGAATTTAATCAATCGGGTCAATTAAAGCGCAGATTCCTGTTTACAGTAACAGCAGAACAGATCTGAAGGTGCAGGGCTGCTTCCTGTGAAACAATGTCCTCTGATTCGTTTCACACGAGGTTCTTTTCAGCGCCACAGCTCCACTTGTTATTTGTTTTATTAAAACTGAATCACAGTAATTTCTGCAGTGCAAGAAGGATCAGCCGGCTGCAGCGGGAGGGAGGTCCAGGTGTGTGCGGCGAGCACGCCATCAGTGCATGCACAAAAGTAATGTTTGAATTCCACTTCGTCTGCACTCATTTAGCAACATGCCGAGGTCGACCGTACGGCCAGATCCATCCAGCACACAGGACGCGGCTGGATTACAGAGTGCAGCTGACGCTAGCAAGTTAGCATCCGCATGGTAACCCATCACAGACAGACAGGGGGCGCTGCAGCGCCAGCATGTGGTGTGTGGCACCATAACAACTTTTAACTGGCGTTAACATTAAACATCCTCTAGAATAAACTATGAATGATTTGTTTGTGGGGATAGGTTAATTGATTAATCTACATTGACCATAGGAGTGAATGTGAGTGCGAATGGTTGTCTGTCCCGGTGTGTTGGCCCTGTGACAGACTGGCGACCTGTCCAGGGTGTACCCCGCCTCTCGCCCTATGACAGCTGGGATAGGCTCCAGCGCCCCCTGCGACCCTGAAAAGGATAAGCGGATGGATGGATGGGTGATTTGTTTAACTGCTACCCACTTTTTTTGTGGTGCAAACTCTGACCCACCAAGCTGTAGACGACTCTGGGAACCAAACATCCTTTAGCAAAGACACAATTTGTCTTTGGAAGTATTAGCACCGGTGTGATTAAAGCCAGTGAGCTACAGAAAGTTTTCTCCACATGTGCAGTTCTGCGGAGCCTCTTTAAAGTTCAGCTCTGGTTCTGCAGCTCATGCAGGGTGGGAACAGAGACCGCAGCAGGCCGCAGACTGACGGGAGCTGCTCACATGCTCGGAGACCAGGAGTTACATCCAGTAACCGCCCCTTCCCTGTGGCTGCAGAGAGAACAGCACACCCCCACACTTAAACTGCATTTATCTGATGAGTGTCTTTTATACCTGTGTGCAGCCACGTCTGCATAAGCACATGAAAATAAAAAGACTGAACATCAGTGACATCACTGCTGTCAGGCCTGCTTCAGTCTCAGCTTCCATCCAGCCTTCGTGATCCTGGTGTTCAGTACCTGCCCGGCACTGAGCAGCGAGCACACAGCCGGAGAGCCGCCGGTGCAGAAAGTGGAACATCTCGCAGCTAAAGATCCGGATATTTTTCCTCAGGAGTTGGTAGAGACCCAAACTGGGAACTCATCGGCTCAACAACCATGGCCTGATGGCTTCTGGAGGTTACGGGCAACAGGAACAGGAAGCCAAGGCCCCAGCATCAATCCCTGCTGTAAAACAGCACCAAGTGGCCATTAGAGGAACTGCAGCTTCCTGCCAGTTTGGCTGCTTAAACTCGATCCTCGGAGTAACCGGCCGGTTTGCAGAGCAGAGTTTCAGGAAGCACAGAATAACTCTCAGCATGTTCAGGAATCCAAGGAGGATGTTTAATACACGGCCTTATTTTCACGGCGGTGAAACGTCGAGGAGCTCTGACAGGCGTTCTCTTCACCTTGAAATCTGCTCCACCAGTCTGACTGGTGCTTCATCGTGCCAGCAACTCCAGTTTGCTTTTAGAGGGAATTAACTCTGATATACAGCTCTCTGACTTCACCTTTTGTTTTACTTTACTCGGCTAAAAACATCAAATGTGGCGAAAATCTGAAGTTTTAAGGAAGTGAAGAAGAGCTGTGTTTGTTTTTGGCTTAATGACAGCATATTAGTGACACTGTGGGGATTTCCACACAACGACGGTGACACGAGACCTGCTGACAGACAGTAAGCTCAACGTTTCTCAGTGAAATCGGAGCGTTTGTGAACGCGGATTCAAACAGGACTTCATTTATTCGCTGCACTCCTTCCTGCTTTAGCTCTTCCTGAAACACGCCTCCAAAGACTGTCTTTCATCTTCATATCTGTCAAACACCGGGAAGCTCGTCGGAGGAATGCAAACGCCCCACAGCAGACTCGGTTCAGGTTTGTTTAACATGAGATCTCAGCGATGCGGGCACGTCACTGGTCTTCATATTCTCCTGTGTGATGTCGTACAGCTGACAAGTTTGTCTTGAGATTCTGGTATGTCTTGATTTGATTACGTGGCTCCAGTTCTGACATCAGATCATTAGATAAAGCTTGCTGATGTGCTTTTCGCAGACTTTGAGTGTGGAGAAAAGTAGGCAGAGCTTTCACAGCTGCTCTGCTCTCCAGGAGTTTTTTTGACGTAGTTTAGGCCGCACAGAAAGATCTTGTTGAAGCAAATATTTATTTCCATTTCTATTCATTAGCTTTGTTTATGGACACTGATGGAAATATCCCAGAGCAGCCAGTGTTTTTTAACCTGGCATTACTTCAAATCCAGGACCCAACTTTAATATGCACATGCTTTGTTTATGCACAACAATACACAAGGAGCTCAGGTTTGGGACATCTTTCAGGTCAAACATCGACCCCCAAACACTCCCAAGTGTCACAAATAAGCATGTTACAGCCTGCTATGAAAAGCAGCTTTGGTGTGTACAGGTAAACCCACTCGCCCGTCACAACAGCTGGAAGGGGTTACATTTCCACACCTCTCACTTGTTTGGAGTTGGTGCCTTTTTAACAGAATTAATTGATTTTTAAAAACGTGGCTCGTTGTGGATTTTACTAAAAGAGCATCCAAGAAGTTTACAACATCCCCACACAGCGACCGGGAAACTCCCACTCCACCCTCCAGAACCTCGTCCCTGGACTCAGAGGTGCTAACTCCCACCCCAGCTGCCCCAGCTGGAGATCGTTGCTGGATGAAGCCAAATGACAAACATCTGTGAAGAGCTGAGATCCTGAGAACACCGAGCCCTCCACCCTCAGCTTCACATCAATTCAATTTTATTTATAGAGGTAAAGACCCTGCAGGAGAAACCCCAACAATCAAACGACCTGCTGTGAGCAAGCACTTGGCGACAGTGGGAAGAAAAAATGCCCTTTTAACGGAAAGACACCTCCAGGCTCAGGGAGCGGCGCTCACCTGCTGTGACCGGTGGGGGGTGAGGGGAGGACAAAACAAAGACACGCAGTGGACGAGAGCCGGAGGTTAATAATGACGAACGCAGAGGTGTAAACACACAATCAGGGTCAGCAGAGCCAACGCCCACGAGTCTTTCTTACTGCCCGATCGCTGGGACCAAACATCCACCTCAGGCTCGATGCCCACAGACATCCCAGAATCCAAAAAACACATGCAGGAAAGTCCCACGCACCCCAGCTGGTCCCGAGAGCATCCAGAGCTGGTCCAGAGTTCCAGGACCAGGACAAAACCGCATCTCCTGAATCGGAGCTTCGCCTAACAGATGGACTCTCCTCTCAGCACGCTGAGGGTTTTTGTTTTTTGGACAAACTGAACAATAATGAGTGTATCTTATTAGCTTCAGCTCAGCTCGCGACGGCCACCGTGACTACATCTGCGTCGTACGTTATCTGTACCGCATCTGAACGCTGGATTCATCTAAATAAGAGAAATGATCACGAGCTGAATGTGTTCATGTTAAACAACAATGAGGGAAAAGCATCTGTGCTGCGGAGGCGTGCACGTCTCACCCTTTAAAGGCCGTGTGCAGGAAAGCAGCAGCATCATTCATTTCCTTTAAGCGCTCTTTAAAGGCCTTTAACATCCACATTAATCTGTGCACCCTCCCCGGGCGAGCAGCGAGCGTGTACGCTCTCGCAGTGAAAGCCGATACGTCACGCGCTCCTCGCCTCCTATTGGTGGGTGCGAACACACCCCCTTCATTTCACTTTCGCTGCTGTATCTCCATATTAACCTTCGTGTAAAAGTGACACCTCCCTTTCTTCCCTCCCTTTCTCCCCTCCCCTCCGCCTCGTCGGTAATCCGGCGGATTCATCCAGATGGATCGTGGTGTTAAAAAAACAAAAAGAGCGCCTGACAGTCTCGCTGCTCGTGGTTTTTGTGTGTTTTAGCTAATTAATGTCTCAAGATTAATGTGTTGATGATTAAATGGTGTGAAAACATTACACATTCTGTATTTAAACAGCCACACTCTTTTGCCTCCTTCCAGCGCATTCATTAATGTCATTTATTGCAGCAGTGCGAGCCGCTCGGATGTGGGGAAACAAACTGTTAAAATGGTGACAAGTCGCCGGACTTGGAACCAGACTGCGGGGTCGGGTTAGTCTGCAGTCTGGAGGCTTTCGTCGGGTTTTTTCTGGTGAGGGGGAGAGGTATTCGGCTGGAGCCTGGCTCCTCCACTCATCTGCATCTTATTTGAATTTCCTGCTTGCATAATTCCTCGGTTAATGGGGAACTGCTCGGCACCGGCACAGCTGTTTTGCCTTTCCTGCCTGGCAAGACGCCGCTCGCTCAGTGAGGGGAGGAGGGAGGGACGGGAGAGGGGGTGGAAGGGGGGGGGTGAGGAAAAAAATCTTCAAAAAGAAAAAAATCTGCAAGTCATGTGGTGCAAAAATACAGTACAAACAACGTGTGATCCCCCGAGGACGGAGGAGGAGGAATGGAGTCAAACACCCACCCACTGCCTGCTTCACCCCCCCCTCGCATGTACATACACACACACACACACACACTTTGATAGCACCACACCCCCTTCGCCACAGCCACACTGAGCATGTGCAGTGATGGTGATGAGCCTCTCCTCTTCCTCTCCCACCTCCCCCTCCCGTCCGCCTCCTCACCCAATCCTCAGCTCTGCCATGCTGGTCCTATAATTGGTTAGTAACAGGCTTGGGCAGCACCACCGCGTTGCACCAGTCGGACTTCTACCAGCCGCATTAGCGTGTTTATGCATTCGCAGCCCTATTAGAGGCTGTTTGTTCGCTCATTAGCAAACCTGAGCTGGAGCTTGAACCTTGCCACAGCCGCGGTAATCGCCGAAAGAACGGCCGGCGTGCTGGAATCTGTGGTGGCGACCTGTGGAACAGTTTGTCCTGAGCCCACGAGTATTTAGATCAAGCTCCCACTGTGAGGCCGATGTAGAGTTTGTGTGTTTTTGGTGGCCGCCTCAGAGGTTTTAGCCTGGAGAAAAGGAAAATCCCCAGCAGGGTTACTCGACTAACACAGATTTAGTCAGAAATAAAATGCAAGGATTTCAGTTTAAAGTCGAACCCAGAGAACCGCTGCCAAACAAAAGCCTGATACGTGGATTCGATTTATGTGATGTGTTTTTAAAGATGGGGCTTCGTGTCTGCGTTAGACACACACAGGCTGTGTTAAAGAGCTAACAAATTTCCTGCTGCACATTCTGCATTCGTGCATCCATCATGTTGACAGAGCGGTTTTCCTTCTTGTTTTTCGTGTTTGCCGTTTCCCAAAAAGATACTTTTTCTGTTTCAGCCCAAGAAGCATCACCATAAAATTACAACATGTTTCCATCCATCATCTTCCACTTATCCAGTCACACCAGCAGCAGGCTGAGCAGGGTATTCCAAACATCCTTTCTCCCTAGAAACACTTCCCAGC